AGCCGTACTTCCGGAGCTCCTCTAGAAGACGTAGTAGAGAAGCCCTTCCAATAAGCCCTTCCTGAGCCGCCGTGTCAACAATGCCCTGGCAACCCGCAACCGTAACCCCAACAAAGGACGAAGTGCTTGTTTCACTCGGAACGGTCGTGCGGTCCGGTCCTTCTTCTGAGGCCTTGCTCGGGGAACCGGTGGCATAGCATAGGAAAGAAGCCGCAGGGCCGGGGCGATCGGAAGACCAAAAGAAGCTCGTCCTTGTAGAAGATGCCGGTGCCGAAGAAGAGCCACCAGCCGAACCCTGCCCGCGCCGACACTCCTTGGCCCAATGCCCAATTTGGCCGCAAGCCCGGCACCTGGTACGCAGCTTTATCTCCTGCAGGGTGAGCGAACGATCTTGCCCGTGTCCTTGTCCCTTGCCGTGGCCGGATGCCTTCAGGTGTGGTTGCGAGATTTTTGTAGGCTACACTAGGAAACCTAGGTAAGTAGCTGTACAGTGTAGAGAGAAGAGGGTTTGAGCTAAAGGGCTTTAACCTGACTGCGACTCACCGCAGCCCTCTTTTGCAGAGTGAAAATAGTGAGCCCAATACGCGACCCAACCTCCGCGCATGGTAGCGGAGCTGGTTCGGTAGGCCCCGACGCTCCTAGGGTGCGCGGGCCGAACCGCCACCCGCCAGCCGCCACGTCCGAGTGGTGGGGCTGGTGGGACTGGGACTCCGACTGGAGTTCCCAGTGGGACTGGAGGAGAAGCTCCAGCTCGACCGCGCCGCCCTTTCATAGGCGAGCGCACCGAAGCCGAGAACCAAAACCGGGGCAGAACAGCCGAGCCCGAAAGGGGCAAAGGCAAGACCGGCCCGACGGGCCGTGGGGGAGCCGAACCCCCCGACGCGGAAAAGGAGGGAGCAGGGAAGCCCACCAAGGGCACGCCTGCCAAAGGAGCTGCGCAGCCCGCAAAGGGCAAGGCAGCCCAAGCTAAGGGAGCAGAGCAGCAGGCAAGTCCGGCAAGGGCAAGCCTGCGGCCCAGGAGCCTGCCGAACTACCGAGGTGGTCGTTCCCAAGCGACCGCGAGGTACGAGGATGACCGATATCCCAGAGCCGCGCACCCCGGAGCAAGCTCCTCCAGGTGCCGGCCAGGAGATTCAGAGCCCTAGCTCGGAATCCTCCTTGGACACCGCGCCGGTGCCCAAGGTAGGCCCCGCGCCTGGTGAGGACACTCCAGACTTCGGGGGAACGAGGCAAAAGAAGAAAGGTCTGGAAGGCTGGGCAGGGCAGGCAGCCCCGGCGAGTGGACCCACTGAGGCCACGCCGGAGGCAGAGCCGAAGGCCTTGCCAAAAGGCGCTCCGGCAGCGAAGGCCAACGGTAGGGCGCCGCCGCCTTGCCTTGGGCCACCGCCTCCGCTTAGGGAGGAACCTAAGGCCGCGCAGCCAGGGCCAGGAGAGGGCACCTCCCGCGCCTCGGGAGGAAGCTCCGGAGCAGGAGCAAAAGCCCACCTCGTCGCCGGCCGACGAAGGTGAGGAAGAGGAGTCAGAGGAGAGCTCCGAGGGCCAAGGGCCGTGCCAGTTAACGGCACGCGGCTCGCAACAGGCCAGCGACTCCTTGGGAAGGCAACCCAAGGCTGGCGGAGCAGTACGGAGAAGCCCTGACCTTGCTGGACGAGATCAGCCAGGCTATCTTCGACGCTTCAAGGGATGAGCCAGCAACCGGCTTATCCGCCCCCGCAGGGCGACCCCGTGGTCGAGGCTCTGCGCGGGGAAGTGGCAACCCTTAGGGGGTTGTTGGAGAGCCAAGCGCAGCAGCTGCAGGCTGCGATTGGCGAGCTGTCGGCCCAGAGACAACAGGGCCCGCCCCTGCGCCCGCGCAGGCGAGCGGTGGAGGGCACTTGCTCAAGAGCATGCGTCTCCCAACTTCCCTTAAGGGGCGAGACGACTGGGAGCGCTTTGCCTTTCAAGCAGAGACCTACCTGGCGGTCGTAGACACCAGGTATCCGGCAGAGCTGGAAATAGCTCGAAAGCGCAAGGTGCCACTCCAAATGGCAGCCATGACCGAAGAAGTGCGGACCCTCAGCGTCCGCCTCTTCGGCATGCTGGGCAGTTGGACCCAGGACTCCGCCACAGCTGTAAAGCTGGCGCACGGAGTGAAGGGCCAAAATGGGTTCGAGCTCTGGCGTCTCCTGCGGCAGGAGCACAACCCAGAGAACGAGTCCAAGAACCTCACCTGGAGGCGGACCCTGCTGATGCCGAAGTTCCCGCCAAAGGAAAGCGACTTCTCCTTGGCTCTGCAGGAATGGGAGGCAGACGTGGACCGCTACGCCTCCGAGTATGGCGCAGGGCGCGCCCTAGCAGATGAAGATCTGCGGGCAGTGCTGGTGACCGAGAGCCCCAACGCTCTTCGGCAACACCTCGCTATGCACGCGGCGAGTCTTTCGACTTATGCCGAGGTGAGGGAAGTAGTGGTGAGCTACTTGCAAGCCAAAAGGGTCTGGACCCCAAGTGCGGGCTACGCCGCCTCTTCCCGAAGGGACCCTAACGCCATGGACATTGGCAGAATAGGGGACCGAGACGGAAAAGAAGGGAAGGGCAAAGGCGACAAAGGCAAGAAAGGGGACAAGGACCACAAAAAGGGCAAGGGCGACCACGACCACAAAGGCAAGAAAGGGGACAAAAAGGGGAACCAGCAAGGAGGTAGAGACGGCAAAGAGAGATGCCCCATCTGCTGGAAAACGGGGCACACCGTAAAAGAGTGCTGGTTCAACGCCAAGGGAAAAGGCAAAGGCAACAAAAGCCAAGTGGCCCAGGTGGCCGACGACGCGGCCACAACGTTGTCAACAGCCTCCTTGGCGACTGCGGGCCCCTCCGCGTCCCAAGCTGGAGGAAGCACTGGCGGCTCTGGCGGTAAAGGCCAGGTGCGCCAGGTGCGCGACGACCGCATCTTAGGTGTGCGGTTTGCCCCGCCTCACGACACCGAGCCAGAAGAGGAAAAGATCCTCAAGTGTCGGGGAGTCTTCTTGTGGACTCCGGGGCGTGTGTGTCCGTGTGCAGGCCCGAGGCGTTTCCCGACCTGCAGCCCGCGGGCCCACCAAAGAGCCTTTACTCGGTGGACAACAGCCGCCTGAAAACAAAGGGCCGTGTCCAGCCGAACCTCCTCTTAGGGTCTTAGGGGAGGAGCGCCAGTCCTGCAAGGTCAACTTTGAGGTGACCGAGGACATAGAGGACGAAATCCTCAGCATCAGCCGTGCTGTTGAGGCCGGTGCGGCATTTGGCTCCACCGAGAGGACAGCCACATTTTGTGGCCCGACGGCGTCCGAGCCTCGATCCTCAAGAGAGGGTCACAGTTCCTCCTACCCTACGAGCGGGAGCTCCCGCCGAGGTCAACAAACCGGGTGGCACCGGTGGCGGCAGAGCCACCGAGCCGACCTGGGACACTACGACTACATCCCGGAGCACGACCTCGAAGCTCGAGAGGTGGAGGACGCGGCGATGGAAGCAGCAGCCGACGAGGAGGCCGAAGCTGCTGAAGAGGAGAACCCCGCCCCTCTAGAGGAGCAGGCCGAGCAGCCTGACTCCAGGCCACGCGGCCTAAGGGCACCGCGCAACCCGACGGCGCAGGAACGTGGTGCGAGAAGTGCGTGCGGAGGGAAAGGCGCGCGAGGACCCTCACCGCCGCCGGGAGCCCTCGGATGATCCGGTGACGCCGCTTGTCACCATGGATTATCAGTTCTATAGCCGGGACGGGAAAGAAGTTGAGGAAGAAGCGTCGCTTGCCACGGTGCTGAACCTCACAGACAGGGCCACTGGCTGGACTCTGTCGGTTCCCGTGGCGCACAAAGGGCACAGACACGCGGCCTACGCCGCAGGGCTAGTGGAGCAGTTCGTGGATCGCCTGGGGTACGACAAGTTTACCCTAGGCTGACCAGGAGAATGCCATAGCCTCTGTGGCCCGTGCGGTCCACCGCCGGCTTGGAGCGGCTAGGGTGCGTCTCTCGCGGGTCACACCAAAGCCAAGGATCCGTAGAGGGAAGAAACGCACACCTAGCAGGTGAAGTTCGCACCTGGCTCTCGCAGCTAAGATGAGCGGACTACCCCGCCTTAGAGTGGGACACCTCGTCCAACCTGTTCCCGTGGCTTGTCAGGCACGTGGCCTGGCTGCAAGCCCGGTTCGGGACCAAGTCGACGGACGGGGTGACACATCGGGCCGCCACTGGCACCGACTATGGTGGAGCACTTTGCTCTTTTGGGGAAACCGTTCTAGCTAAGCTCCCGAGGCCCGGGAACAAAGCGCAAGTGAGCTGGGTCAAAGGGGTCTGGGCCGGCAAGCTGGAGCGCGACGACTCCCACGTGGTGCTAACCGAAGCTGGCGCACTCAACGTGAGGAGGAGCGTCAGGCGACTCCCGCCGGAGACCCGGCACCAGACGGCAGCCGTTCTCAAAGCGTGCGGCCTGCCTTGGAACCCCAGATTTGGCCGCTCAGCGCCAGCAGAACGCAGCGAGCCGATGATGGTTCCAATCCCTCTGGCCACGCCGGCCGAGGAAGTGGAGCGGCTAGAACCGCCCGGTGAGCCCTGGCTCTTCAGCGACGGGCCGCGGCCCGACGACGAGGCCCTCTTAGTCGGGGGCCGAGCAGGCCAGCAGGCTCCCGGACGCCAGCCCTACCGAGGAGCTGGCAACGCAGACATACCGGACTACGAGCCGTCCGACGTGGAGGCAGCACCTTCCGCAGCAAGCGCTGCCGCAACAAGCGGCAAGCCCCAGCCGCCAACGACGGCTCAGGCGAAGGGGGGCAGAAGCGCGACTCTGCGGGTTCCTCCGCGAGCGCAGCGGCAGCACAGCAGCCGCCTGCAGCAAAGAGCCGGGTGGAGCCCAAGAAGGCACCACGTCTAGGAGCGCTCACTGAGCGCGAGGTGTGGCAGCACATCGCTGCCTTAACTTAGCCGACCCACCGCTCACCAACCACAAGGGCGAGCGGGACGCGTGGGTTGGGCAGGTGACAGACCTGCTAGACCGGATGCTCGACCCCAAGCAGGTCGAGCAGGCACGCAAGGAGCAGCTAAGAAAGCTGTGGGACCGAGGCGCTTTCACGCCTGTGCTGCGGTCTGAAGTACCGCGCGGGGCGCAGCTGTTCAGGGCAAAGTGGGTCGACAAGTGCGACAAAGGAAGGTACAAGTCAAGGTGTACCTGTCAAGGCCCGCTACAGCCCAGAACAGGAAGCTGGCTTGGACGTTTTCGTCCCAACGCCAACGCCCGAGAGTCACTCCCTACTTGAGGTAGCAGCGCTACACAACGAAGGGTGGGTCACAAGGTCTCTGGATATTGTGGCCGCCTTCCTCATAGGGAAGGACCGCGGTGCGGCGGAAGGCCGCCCGGTCTACATGTATGCGCCTGTGGAGTGGCGCGAGCTCTTTGACCAATGGGTCTTGGAGCAGCCTGCAAAGGACCAGCAGTGGTACCGAGACCACTTCCGGGACTTTGTGTTCCGAGTGGACGGCAACCTCTACGGCCGAAGAACGGCTGGGTCCGTCTACAGGGACGAGCTGGAAGAAGTCCTCGCTGGCAAGCTGGCCAAGGACTACGACTTCCAGCGGGGCGTGAAGGACCCGTGCGTGTACCTAGACCGCCGGTCCGGCCTAATCCTTCTCCACCACATCGACGACATCCGTGTCGCAGGCCCCAAGGCCGCAGTGCTGAAGTTCACGGAGGTGGACCTTCCGACGCACTGTGAGATAACGGTGGGAGAACTGGAAGAGCCGGGCACAGCGGTGGAGGTCCTGGGAAGGACCAAGGTGCGCACAGAGGACTCTATCCTCACGCTGCCCGACAGCAAGCACGCTGAGAATGTGCGAGCAGCTGGGCATCGGTCCAAAAGACAAGGGGACCGTGCCTAGCAGACCTCTGGACCTGACCAAGGTCGAGGAGCTCTCTGCGGGTGACGCCGCGAGGTTCCGCAGCGCCGTGGGTAGTGCTATCTACCTGTCGGCGGACAGGCGAGACATACAGTTCGCCGTGAAAGAGCTGGCGCGAAGGATGCAGAACCCAAGGGTCTGCGACTGGCTCGCTGCGGAAACCCTCGCGCGATACCTGCGGGCAACCCCGCGGTTTGGAAGGGTAGTTGTGCTGGACCCCGCGTCCAAGAGCACAGCTCTTCTGAACTTGGAGGTCTACTCCGACTCCGACTGGGCAGGGTGCCCAGAAACGAGAAGGAGCACAGACAACATAGTTGCCTGTCTCGGGGGAGCAGTCATCCAGACAAGCTGCCAGACACAGCCCGGCCTCCCAGCCACCTCCAGCGGAGACGCGGAGATCCGGGGAGTGTCGCGAGCAGCAAGGGAGGCCGTCTTCCTACGAGAGCTTGCGGAGAAAGACTTCGCCCTAGCCTGCGGCTTGCCGCGGCTCTGGGCAGACTCCGCAGCCTCGATCGGAGCCGCCAAGCGCATAGGACCAGGGTCCAAGCTGAGACACCTGGAAGTCGCGGAATTCTTTGTCCAAGGCGCGCTCAGAGCCAAACTTCTCGAACTGAGAAAAGTTAAGGGAACCGAAAATCCGGCAAACTTCGCTACCAAGCACGCGAAGACTGGACCGGAGGTGCGGCAATCCCTGCCCTCCATGGGCATGGTGGACCTCGATGCGGTCGCAGGCGCCACCGAGGCTCTGGCCCAAAAGGGCACGATCAAGTCGATCCAGGCAAGCCCCTGGAAGATGAGACCGCCGACCAAGCTCACGAGCTCGGCGCTCATGGCCACAATCGTGGCACTGCAGGTTCGACCTGCTAAGGCCCAAGGGCACGACTTTGCTGAGCTGGTGCTCGGCTTCGCGGCTTTTGGCTTCCTGGCCTTCCTGTGGATGCTTTGGAGCCTGGTCTCCTGGCTCTGCAGACGCAGACCTGAAAGGCAGGAGCCAGAGCCCGAAGATGAGATCGAGCACCACGCCGAAGCGTGTCGAAGAGCCGCCGCGTGCAGCCCAAAGGGCCACGGAGGTCTGGCTAGGGCCAGAAGCGCCGCAAGAGGCGCAACAAAAAAGGAGGGGGCAACAGCCTAAAAAGCTCAGGAGCCAGAACCTGAGGGTGAGCGGACCCCAGGTCCGCCCCCTGCGGCAGCTCCTCCACCACCGCCGCCCGCTGCACCAAGGGTGCGGCGCAGGCGTAGGGGACCGGAACCCCTGTCCGGGGACGACGAGCATCTCTACGAGACAGCCCGTGGTGACAAGATCCACCTGTTCACCAACTGTAATGGGCTGAGCTCCGTCCCAGCGGATCAAATCCTGATCGGCTTTCGCTGCCATTGTGCAGCAGATCCTCAGAACACCGAGTTCCTCTGGACCGGGTTCGCCTTTCAAGTGGCCACCGGCCGCGTCGTGCGCCGGTACCATGGCCAACAGCGCGGTTGCCCATTCATGCAAGGGGCAACGATCAGACACAGGGTGTGTCTCCACTGCCGCAACGGGCACCAGAGCACCAAGCCCGGCAGTGCGGTGAACAACTCCCGCCACTGGGAGCATCCACCTAGAGGCCCCTAGCGGGTAGCACCGCAGGGCGAGCCTTACGGCTGCCAGCCCTGTGTGCGGGACGCTCCGCCATACCAGGGGCGTCTCACCCTCCGACTGCGGGATGCCCCGCGGGAGGCTTTCTCAAACCCCTACCTCTAAGGGGGGGTGCGAGATTTTTGTAGGCTACACTAGGAAACCTAGGTAAGTAGCTGTACAGTGTAGAGAGAAGAGGGTTTGAGCTAAAGAGCTTTAACCTGACTGCGACTCACCGCAGCCCTCTTTTGCAGAGTGAAAATAGTGAGCCCAATACGCGACCCAACCTCCGCGCAGTGGTCCAAAGGACTTGCCCTTGCCCTTGGGATAAAAGCCGCGTCCGTTCCTGACATGGCGCATGCTGTCCCGAATGTCCTGGTAGCTGGCCAGGATCTCCAGGAGGTCGTCTTCCTCGATCACCTCCTCCAGCATGTCGCCGTGGCCCGGGTCCTCGTAGTAGTTCTCTGCTTCGTCGGCTCCATGATAGGCTTGCTCGGCATAGTCCTCGAAGGTGGGGTCCTCCTGGTCGGCATAGTCCTCTTCGTAGTTCTCGTCGCCCTCGGCGTCCTCATAAAATGCCTGCATGCCCTTCTTGGTGCCCTCCTGCATAGCGCGGTCCAGTCGGCGAAGGTTCGCCGTCACCACATCCAAGGAGAAGTCGCCAGCCAGCCAGGTCAGCAAGCGCACGTCCAGCTCCTTATCCAAGTTCGACTGGCGATACAAGAGGTAGCCCTTTGCCTTGACAGGTAGCTCAACTCCTTCATCTCTCAGGCTGGCTTGCGCCTGCGAAAACCTGACAAGGTACTCGGCAATGGTCTCCTTGTGGCTGCGCGGTTGTCCATAGAGCGCTGCCTCCATAGCACGGGGAAGGGAGGTTTCCTGATATGGTTGAAAAGCTTCCTTCAAAGTCTTCACCACAGTCTTGACCCCGTCGTCGGCTATCAAGGCAGACACTTCCAAGGACCTAACGGCTTCCCTCGCTGCGCCCGTCAGGGCCTGAACCAACTTCGGCCCACGCTTGTTTGCAGGAAGATCCGAGATGACCTCCCACAGCTCCAAGTCCTTGAGGAAAGGCTTAAGCGTTGCTTCTGGCCTTTCTCCATTCCACGACGGTGGTGGGTCACGATCACGATAGAAGCCAGTAGTGGCCTCAGTGCCCGCTGCCTGGGTCATTCCAGGCCACAGGGAGCAGCAAAGCCCAAAGTCACGGCCCGCAGCTCCAAGTAAAGCGCCTCCTTCTTAGCAGCACTCGCCACTGCCTCCAAACCACAAGAGTGCACAGATTGCCTGTCTCCTGGGCTCGACCAAAGGTCCTGATCGTAAGGCTCCGGTGCCAACTGACAAAAAATCCCTGTTCAAAGCAACTGACCTTCCGTTCGTTGGTATCTAACCTTCTGACCTTTTCGTTTTGGGAGCCTTAAAGGGGCTTTGAAAGCAGGATTTAAAGTGAGCATTGAAGACCATGAACAGTGAACAGTGGACAGCAACAGCAGCAAAAGCAGGAGCAGCAAGCAGCCGGAAAACAGATTGCAAATTGGAATGGGGGCGGGGCAGGGCAAGCTCAAAAATGATGTCGTGAATATATTGTTGCCAGAGGGAATATACACGACACTGTTCTCTGTAGTAGTAGTAGTAGTAGTAGTAGTAGTAGTAGTAGTAGTAGTAGTAGTAGTAGTAGTAGTGGCAGCAGCAGCAGGAGTAGTAGTAGTAGTAGTAGTAGCAGCAGCAGGAGTAGTAGTAGTAGTAGTAGTAGTAGCAGCAGCAGCAGCAGCAGCAGGAGGAGTAGTAGTAGTAGTAGTAGTAGTAGTAGTAGTAGTAATAGTAGAAGTGGTAGTCGTGGGTAGTAGTAGTGGTAGTGGTAGTAGTACAGTCTAAAGTGGTATAGTGGTAGTATAGAAGTAGCAGTAGTAGCAGTAGTAGTAGTAGTAGTAGTAGTAGTAGTAGTAGTCGTAGTAGTCGTAGTACTAGTAATAGTCGCAGTAACGACACTGTCCCCTGTCCAATGCACGTGTGCATGTGCTCGCGCGCGCTGTTGACTGTTCCTGCACGCACTGTTGCCTATGCTCGCACACGCTGTTGCATGTGCTCGTGCACACTGCGCGCATGCTCTGCGCACACTGTTGCCTGTGCTCGCACACACTGCGCGCACACTGGGCGCGCACTGTTGCCTGTGCTCGCACACACTGCGTGCGCACTGCGCGCGCACTGCGCGCACGCTGTTGCCTGTGCTGGCACACACTGCGCGCGCGCTGTTGCCTGTGCTCGCACACACTGCGCGCGCACTGCGCGCGCACCGTTGCCTGTGCTCGCACACACTGTGCACGCACTGCGCGCGCACTGCGCGCGCACTGCGCCCACGCTGTTGCCTGTGCTCGCACACACTGCGCGCGCGCTGTTGCCTGTGCTCGCACACACTGCGCGCGCTGTTGCCTGTGCTCGCCCACGCTGCGCCCACACTGCGCGCGCACTGCGCGCGCGCTGCGCGCGCGCACTGTTGCTTGTGCTCGTCCCCTTGTGTCCTGTGCTCGCGCACGCTGCGCGCGCACTGTTGCCTAATGCGCGCGCGCTGTTGCCTCTGCCTGCGCACGCTGTTGCCTATGCCACTACCACTATACCACCACTATCACTACCACTACCACTACCGCTAGCACTACCACTACCACTACCACCACTACCACTACCACTACTACTACACTACTATTACTACTACTACTACTACTACTACTACTACTACTGCTACTACTACTACTACTACTACTACCACTACTACTACTGCCACTACTGCTGCTGCTTCTGCCACTACTACCACTACCACTACTGCTGCTGCTGCTACTACTGCCACTACAACTGCTATTATTATTATTACTACTAGTACTACTATTACTACCTATAATACTACCACTGCTTCTGGCAGTACTACCACCGCTGCCACTACTACCACTTTCGCTGCTACTGCTGCTGCTGCTGCGGCTGCTGCTGCTGACAATGGACAGTGGACAGTGTGTGTGAGAGAGTCTGAGCTTGTCGAGGTAGGACAGCAGCACCTGCACAACAGCACACTCCCAGTCCACAAACTAGCTTACTAGGCCCCTTACACCCCCTAGGCCCGGAATCCCTCCCCCACAATTAAAAAGGTCGCGAATTAACCGACGCCTCCATCGGTTAATTCGCCTTTCCCCACCTATTTGCCCTCACCCACACCCACTGTACTGTTCACTGTGCACTGTCCACTGTGGTATGATGGCGAAGTAGCAGGCTTGCCCAGGTCATTTTTCTCAGACGCAAAGAGCATGTTGAAAACCCCGGCTCTTGCGGCAAGTTGCTGGTGCCAACTGTTAATTTCCTGCCGTCTGGCAAAACTGGAAACTTGCCAGTCTCATGGATGCTTTGTCACCGTCACTCGTCCCAGTGGACAGGTGACAGTGAACAATGGACAGTGTTGTAGTAGGGCAATTATACGGCGTGTGATCCATGGGTAGTAGGGCAATTACGGCGTGTGATCCATGGACATCGCATACAAGCGGTTCAACCGCTGCACGAGCAGTGATACTGCTCAGGAAAACATGAGTCCAGGCGGCAGCGCTCATAGCCATTAAGGTACTGCTCGAAATAGACCATCCCGCACCACACACATATTTCCGTCATCTGCATCAGTTTCACTGATATGCGAACTTCTCCCAGCTCTTCATCAAGCAGCACACTCAATTCCTTCGCCAAGTCTTCAGCAGAAGCGGTCGCAGTCTCGCCCTCGGCGGAAACGGACATGAGCTCCAGGTTCTCGAGCTCCCTTTGAACATCCTCGACCTCGGAGTCGCTCTCCGATGCCGGCGAGAGGATTTCAGTCGGGGCTTCGTCCATGGCGGCGACGACAGTCGACAATGGACAGTGGACGTCCATGGCAGTGTCGACAGTCGACAATGGACAGTGGACTCAGTTCTGGAGCCAAAATTTACAGCGACAGCCTCCGTGGCAGCCAACAACAAAAGTTCATGTGCAGTTCTGGCAGTGCAACTACTAATTACTACTATTGTCTGTGCTAACAAGCATCATCATGGCAATTCACAATACAAACAAGCAATCAATAGCAGGAGCAGCAGCAGCAGCACCCCCTTCAAGGACCTGCACACGCAGGTGCTGAGCACTGTTTTAACCCCACCAGGCGCAAACCTTCGGCTCAAGCGAGCGGCTCATTCAATAGCAAATCTCACAAGCAGCGCTTCCAGCTGCTGCACGGAATTTGGAAACTTTGCTTCCTCTGCCTCTTGCTAACAGGGGCCGAACTGGCAGGTGCACTTGGCCGCTTCCACTGTGCCCCAGCTGCCTTCTGCCTCTTGGCATCAGGATCGGAACTGGAAGTTGAACTTGGCCGCTTCCACCCTGACTTCGTGCTGGTGTGCTTCTGCACAGGGACAGGCGACAGTGGGACAGTGGACTCTTGGAAGCATGGCATGAGCCTGTGCTGCTCCAGCCAGTTGTGCACAATCCAATTTCCCAGCTTCCGGGGGTAGGACTGGCTCTCCTTCAGAAGCTTCCGATCGCCAGTCCTTCCTCCATGCTCATCTTCCTTGACCATGGCTTTATGAATCCCGTCACGGCATGTGCAGTTCTGCTGCAAACTCTTCACCCATGTCTCACCAACAAACTTGTAGCGTTTCAGGAACCTCTCGCCTTCGGGAGCATCCACCTGGAAATGGCACCTTTCACAGGTGGCGGAACAATGGTGGAAAACGCTGAGGACCTTGGCGAGGGGCTTGTACCTGAACATGATGCTGCCCGCTGGCTGTTCAATGACAGGGTGGACCCCACGCAACATTGCGAGGGCATACAGAAACGCTGCAATGCTGGCCATGCGATTGCCTTCCTTCACAGGCGGGTACGCAGTGTTACCTGCTGGGCGGTTGACAGTACGTTGGCATTTCACAGAGTTCATGAACACAAAGCTGCTGCAGACGGGCGCCATCCACAGCAGGCCACCTTTGTCGATCTGCAAGACCGCC